ACGCGGGAAACGAAACAGAATGGAAGAAGGAAGTGCGGGGAGACGCCTCGCCGCGCGGAAACGTAACGGCGGAGTCCTTCGGAGCGCGAAGTCACGCGCGTTGGCGGCAGAAAATGTGTATGTCGACTGTTTCATCTCCGGATGACCGACGCGACCGTACTTGGAGACATTTACGCAAGAAGCGTACTTACAGGACGCAAGGTCTTATAGGACACTGCCTTACGACTGGCACTTAATCGGTCCTACCGATATAATTTTATATTGCGAAGTTACCACTTCGGTGGTTCGACCATCCGTTTCTTCAGTCTGGAAAGACGGACTCGATCTCCGTCGATCGTTCACGGAGCACGAGCGATAGGCGGCCGGAGGTGATTAACCCCGCGGCTCGAAGAGCGGCATGTACATAACTAAGTACACAGATACCTGGCATGCGATCGCCGTAACATTGACACACTTCCCCATGCCGCTCTCGTGTGTCACGGCTTTTAAAGCATGGCCGCTCTGTAATGAGAAAGGCGATTTGTCGTCTCGCCTTGAGAGGCGGAAGCGGGACGCGCGTGTGCCCTATTGTCATCAACGATCGCGATCGTTAAGTCGGAGAAATCGTGATCTTCGGATGAGAGTAGTAGCCGAGAGATTATTTATCGCTGTCTTCGACAGCCCGACGCGTCTTTGTCCGTGCGTTTGATTTAGAATCTCGCAAGGAAGAAATCGTGTTCGTTTATCCGAGCGATTTTATTTAAAATTCACCCAATCTCCCTCTCGGATCTCTTTCGGTTCCGAGATTGTGAGCGGTGTGTTTGCGCGATCGGAATCAGCCACAGGGAAATTTTTCTGCCGAGCCAAATGTAACGGAAGCCCAGAGTTATGGCATTGAAACGCCAATGAATTTAAAGAAACTTGGTTACGACAGTGATCGAACAACTGCCGGTCCATTCTCCCGATCGACAGTCGTTTCCTCGAAATTGTCGAAAGGAAAATGGGAGGGAGGAATTCCTTGGAAAAGTGTTATAAACTCACTTTGATTGTTTCTACTTCTTGCTGCAGTTTAAATAGTGCATTACGTGCGTCCTCTCTCTCTCTC